GTGAAGAACATCAAAATGTCTGTAAGATATTCAAGAGGCTAAGGATGCATCCTTATGTGGAATAGGATGATATGTCTATTATCATACTATATTTCAATACGCATTATCAATGATGTTTCAGAAAATTCAAATTGATGCCATCAAACTAGAAAATTGTCAAATAAATTTCTGTCGGAGCAAAATGATATGAACTAATTACTCTCGTCGTAAAGAAAAAAAGAGCTATATAAGAGAGTAAAAAAATAAAGAGAAAATTTCTTGACGGAAGTGTCACCAACATTATACGCTGTCTCACTCCACAAGAAGGATATCAATTTGTAACAGATGTCTAAATTAGTTTTTTACATTTTTCTTTTCGATTTTTTTAATATCGTTTTTATATATGCAAAAGAAAATGAAGCTTAAGAATAAAAATAAAATGAATTTGAAGAATAAATCTAATGAATTACAGGGCACTATAGTAGTTTTACTTATAAAAAAAATCAATTGTTGCCATTTTGAACTTGTTTTTTTGATTGCTCCAATTTTTTTCTCTTTCTCTGTGAAATAGCTTTTTAGAATGATTTAAATTTATGAACAAACTATTCTCAATCGTTAAATTTCGTTTTTATTATTGTAGCATGACATTGAACAAAGTCTTACGTAGAGAGATGACGATATAAATATGATTACTTTCTTTGTTAGATTTCCGTAGTGAACTTTAATGTTTTATCGAAAATTAAACTACCGAATACAGATGCAATGCATGCAAACACGAATCTTGCTATGTTTCTCTATTGACAAGTTTAATTATTTGCTCGAATATTTCAAAGGATATTATTTTTTTTTAATTGAAGATACATTTTTCTCTATTGCACACGAAATATGATGCATCTACACTGAATATATTCAACAATTTCTAAGTAATCAATCAAAATAGGCTGACGTCACCTAATTTAAACATTCATGTTAATGCAAAGTAAGTGTTATCATTTGTGTATTCATAGTTTTTCTTAAAAACTGTGTAGATCATCTGCACAACATAATCTAGAATAACACAATTGCGTTACTAATTTGTCTTTGCGATGTGTGCAAGTCACAAAACAACTAGAACAAGCATGTTCTCCATCGATAATCATCTACTTCGAGTGAATGACAATACCAACAAGGTCTTTTAAATAATCACAAATCAATATTTTAGCTTCGACTTCATTTTTCAAAATATTCTGTGTATCGATTATACTAAATGTTCACGATCAGTCTTTGACACTTTAGTTCCTTAGAAGCGATTGTTTTTCAACAAAAAATAAACTTTTGGTTCTAGACAACTCGATTTTTCTTATATGTAGTCAAACAATATCTTGATGAATTTTGTGAAACGCAGTACCTCTTTCATATTCATATTTTCTTTTCAAAAATTTGCTCTGTGTTTTATAGGACCTACGATTGAAAGTGGAACTTTTCTAAAATAATTTTTGAAACGAGAACCTAAAATTTATAAGATTGTTTTTTTTCTGGAAATGTTGCAGTATAGATCTTTCGAAATTTCGTTATATGATTCATTTATAGAAATACCTTACATTAACTATCATTGGATATCATGTCTCTTGAAAATTGTTCAAAAACATCAATGAAATGTTTCCGTTTCTAGTTGCTACAATGATTTCTGAAATGTAAATAGACTATTTTTATTCATATTATTTTGAAATAAAACAGCTCTCGAAATATTTAATTATTCTTCAATGAATATGATCAGTATTTGTTTGTTTTTAATCATTTCCCTATTGAAAATGTCTCAAAATACTGGAAAACATCTTTGTGTTATTTCTTTTTAAATACTCTTCACTCCATTTTTTTTTATTCACATCAACATACCTGCGATATGAGAAACAAATTATCCGTCATCCGGTAGTTGTATGAGACATATTAGATGAAGGAAATCATTTTAAATGAGTATTTGATGACGTTCTTGTCAACATATTAATGAAAAAAAAGCATATATCTCATTTACCATATGACGTGTGCTTTTTTATTTCTTCGAGTAGATTGAATGAAATAGCAAATGAGTGAAAAGCGCAAGTATGAGAAAAAAAACTTAGAGCATCACGACACTTTATTCAGAATTTCTCATTTCCATGGAAAAATGTTCAATTGTGAATTATCAATCGAGTTTATCATTAACTGATATGTATCGTTTACTGAAATTATGAGAACACTCAACGAAGTTATCTCAATATACGAAGTTTCGAAATTTGTGACAATTTTACTGCATTTTCCATTACGTTCCGCATGTTAGCCGATAAATTGAATGAATTAATGTTGACTTTAAAGTTTGTCCATAATCATATTTCATAGCCGGTAAACTGTACTGAAATTTTTAACAAGAAATGGATGATTCCTTTTTGACACACCGATCACAAAAAAAATATCATTTTTCATAGAAAGATCCGAAAATCGAGTAATTTTTTCAATATCTCGAGAAGAAATCATTTGTTTGTACTGAAAAGTTCAGGATGATTTATTCTTTGTAAAATCTGATTACGGACAAAGTTTCAGGTTGAAATTTTTTCATTCGATTTTTTTCTTTAGCAGCGGATCGCAAGGTCGAAAGTTCAGTACAATAGTCATAATTTAGAAAAATCCATAGTTGAGTAGAAAACTTAGTTTATTCCTTCAAATAGATAGTAACGGATGACTACGTAGAATTGAACAGACTGACAAAAGAAGATCTCTACATACAGATTGAGTCATGAATATATTTAAAATAAAAAAATTTAAACGCCGTAGATTTTGAACGCTTCGGTAAAACATAAAGCATAAGTATGTACATCAAAGAACTGCATAAATGTAAGTTCATCGAAAATAATATCTTTTCCATTTTGAATGACAGGATTTATAAGAGGACATACTTCTGATCAAGATTCTACTTCTTTATTGACATCATTTGTATTACACCATCTTGAAGTATTTGTTAACTGTTTGCTTGTGAATAGAAATTTTGAATCTTTCTTTATTATCGAAATATGTGAGCAGAATTTATTAGTTTTGTCTAATTTAAAGTCCCATGAGGAAGAATACTTTATCTTCCCTTGCAAGGCCGTCGTTACTTTTATCCTCATCAAAATAGAAACATATTTTGTTGTTGTACTCGTCTACTAGTACGTTAAATATATAGAATTTCAACAATTGCGATGGAAATATTTTTCTTTTCGCAGATGTGATAAGAAGTTCTTTGCTGTATTCATTCATTTTGACGCTCTACAATATGACAATGTACGAAGTATATTTTTCATCAATTAGAACACTCACATCTTGTAATCCGGCTTTCAAATTTTTGTCCCAAAGATTTTCTATTATGAATATTATTTTTCATGTTTCCTTCTGTCATTATATATAGATTATAATCAAACGTTGATGTTGCACATGTGGTGTTTTCGTTGGTGGATATTACCCTTTATATTTGGACAACTTAATATATACTATGCAAGAGCAGCTTGGCCACTTCCAAATATGTCGAACATTCAATTATTAGGTCTTTTTGCAGACACTGCAAATACATCTAAATCTACCGAATTCTCTGTTCATTCTTGTGCGATGTTTAAAGCCGCATTAGTTCTTTCACAACAATATAATATAAAAATTGATGGAGAATTCATTGGATGGCAAGCAGCACAAACTGGTGGGAATGCTATAGGTGCTCTGAGAAGTACATGTCAAGCCGTAATCACTGCAAATGTTATTGGCATTGTTGGACCAGCATATTCTAGAGAAGCTAGTATTATTGCTGCTTTTGCTCATTCAGATAATATTCCTGCAATATCATATGCTGCAACTGAACCTGATTTATCCGATCGAAATGTATATCCTAACTTTTATCGCACAGTTACTTCTGATGCTGCTGTTACATTACCAATTGTAAAATTATTTACTCGATATAATTGGACATCTTGCATAATTATTTATCAAAATGATTAATTTGGATCAGGTGGCACAGAAGTAATAAGTAATGCATTTAGTGAGAACAATTTGATAATTAGTAAATTAGTAGTATTTGATATTGCGACACAACATATTCGAGGTGACTTAAAAGATATTTTATCCACAACTTCAACACGGATTATCGTAGTATGGGCTGATGATTATCATACATCATTAATTTTACAAATTGCACTTAATTTTGATATACTTGGTCCATATTTCACATGGATATTAAGTTCAACAGTTTCGTTTAATTCTTTCAATCAAACAATGTATACTAAATTAATTGGAATGCTTATTTTAGAACCAATAATAGGAAGTGTTGTTAATGCACCATTCAATACAACATTATTAAATGCAGCTTATCAAATATGGGAACAATATGAACCTGAAACATTTCCTGGATCAACAAAAGTAAATTATTACGCATTATTTGCATTTGATGCAACTTGGACATTGATACAATCATTACAACAATTTTGTTCAACGTATACAAATAGTTCTTCTCCATGTATATCAATTGTTAACAATTCATTCTGTTTCGATCGTCATCTTCTTAATGCTACTTCATTTCTCAATACGATTAGTACTACAGAATTTGTTGGTGTATCTGGTCCAGTAAAATTTAGTGACAATGTGACAGATAGAATAGATGGAATTTATTATATTATACGAAATGTTCAGCCTTCTACGAATAATTTAGAATTGGTGCCAGTATTGCAATGGTCTCATTCTGATAATTGGAAAACATATACACAAAGTGATGTCATCATATGGCCTGGTAATACATTAGTACCTCCTACTGGATTTGCTCGACTTGAAGGAATAAACTTACGAATTCGTATTATTGAATCAATGCCATTTATAATACGAACAGATATCATTGAACAAAATCAAACAAAGTTAAGTGGTTATGTACCCGATCTTATTAATCTTTTACAAACTAGGATGGGATTTATTCCTTATATTATATATCCATCAGCAAATCAGACTTATGATGGATTAATTAAAGCAGTGGCAACAAGTATTTGTGATGTGGCAATTGGTGATATTACTGTTACTGCTAAGCGAAGAGAAATAGTTGATTTTTCAACTTCAATATTTGAAAATTCTCTACGAATTATTGTTCGACAAACAAAAACTGTTCATATTGATCTTCTTTCCTATTTAAGACCATTCTCACTTAATCTATGGTTGATACTCTTGATTTGCCTTGTTTATGCTGCTGTTTTACTTTGTATATTAGAACGACCGAATAATGAAGCGTTGCAAAACAGATCAATAATATCATCTAGTGGAATGAGTATGTGGTATTCTATTGGTACTATTATGGGATATGGTGCAGATTTTCATGTTCAAACAGCTGCTGGACGATTATTAACTATAGGTTTATATCTCTTAAGCTTGGTATTAGTGGAAACATATACTGCCAATTTAGCATCTGATTTAACAATATCAAAATCAAAGGATAGTATTTCTGGCATTGATGATATCAAAAATGGAAAGATATCATTTAGTCGTATTGGTATTCTTGTAGAATCATCAGTGGAAGATTATTATTTACGTGAAATTTCTGAAGGTGTTCGTAATTATTATCCAATGAAAACACAAAATGAATTGTTTAACAGTTTATTAAATAATTTAATTGATGCATCGATTTCGGATATTAGTGCTATAGAATATTATACTAATAATGTATATTGTAATTTAACATTTGTCGGAAAAGATTTTGCTCCGAGTTCATATGGTATTGCTTATCCTAAACAATGGTTGTATGGAAAAGATTTAGATGTCATTATATTATCATTAAGAGAATCAGGTGTTCTTGATGATTTAAAAAAGAAATGGTTTGATAAAAATGTTTGTCAAGACTCATCTTCATCTTATGTATCTACTAGTATCAACATGGAGCAAATGAGTGGTTTATTTGTTACTTTTGGTCTTATCAGTATTCTATCGTTAGTATTATTTATATCGAAAAAAATAATTTTCTATATAAGATTATCTAACAAGATCAGTACGTTGAAAGAATTCTTTAATTCAACAGCAAGTCAATGAAACAACAGATCCAATGAAAATTTTGTCTAAATGTACATAAAATTCTCAAGTGTCTTTGCTCTATACTACAAAACTACAATTGCAAAACTATCTTTATCAGAATTACTTGCAAATCATTTTTTCGCTTTTAAAATTCATTATAATAATTAATAAAAGATAAGAAAAATTTCTAAAAAATGTATTTTCATATAATTTGTGTCGTTGATAACTAAAGACTAGAACTCTACTCGAGGGTGAGTATGGATGCAGTTCTCCTTTGCAAGAAAGCGACACGCATATACCCATACCCTCTAAAAGATTTCTTCAGAAAGTGAATTAATCATCGAAACGATACAAAAAAGAAAGATACTGATTTCTTTATCCGTTTACACATTCATTGTAAATATATAGAAATCAAATGAAAGAATTAAAGATTATATTCAACGAACTTACCTTCTTGCATAAATTGTATCAATGGCGAAGAATTCAAATGATGAACAGTTTTCATGAACGAATTCTAAAAAAACAAAAAGATATTGAAAGAATATTATTAAATTTTTTTGGAAAATAGATCATATCAATAAAAATAGAGCAAACAAAAATTCAACTTGAATTAACAATATGCTTTTCGACTGAGACTATGTTCATTTAATGAGTAAGAGAAAATGTTTAGAATGATTTGGATTTCATTGTTTTTTAACCGAAAACTGTAGTCCTACTCAGGTGACATACAAAATCGATGTTCGAATTCAAATTTTGCATGACTCGTTAAGAATTTTGTTCCCGCTAAGTTTCAAGTCGAAATTCTATTTTTCAGATGACCTGAGAAGGACCACATTCTTTTATACTGAAACATCCAGTAAAATTTCTATTTATGGACAACGAAGGTTCGAAACGAGAACAATTCGTCAATCAACTTTTCATATTCTCATCTGACGTATGTTCGTTGATCAGTGGAGAAATTCCTCATAGAATTTTATTCAAAAATTTGATCGTATCTTTTTAATATTTGAACTAAAAAGGCAAGAAAATTTTGATGATGTGTTGAATAATGTTCGGTGATCAACTGTATTGAGGAATTATATGGAACATTTAATTATTTCCTCCTTTCACAGATTGTGAGTGTCCAAAATGAAAAAAAAGAAAGTTTTACGATGGCTTAACTTTAAGCCTTTTTGGTTGGGTGGGTGTGGGTGTGAGTATGAGTGCTGGATTTGGATATCAATCTTGTGATCACTCACATCAATACCCACACCAAAATCTTCGACATTTAACTGTTCAAGTTGATCGAATACCTAACAATCAACAATTTCCATTTGTAATCCAATCGATGTCGTCATTGAAACTCATAGTCAATCAGTTGACTAATGGAGCGATTAATTTACTCAAAAATATGTCTAATTTAACTCTTTTAACTCTTCAAACTAGAAAGCATAATATGAATGGTCATTGATTAGAACAATTTATTATTGATTATTTACCAAAATTGAAAACATTTCAATTTTTGATGTTGATACAGGAGAAGAATTGAATGAAATTATCGATTCTTGTCCGACTTTATTTTGGCTCATTCATCATCAATGGTTTGTACGATGCTACTTTAACTTAACAAGGAACTACATCACAGTTCTTTTTTTTTTTACTTTACCATATCCTCTCTCATCCTTCAATTACGATATATGGGAATCAACTCCTGTTACAATATCAACATATCTCAATTAAAATGATTATTTGTGTTATAATCATGCTACTAAATTGATATGTTCGGATTTGTCATTTAATGATTGGTTATTATCTCATATTCGTTTTCAGAATATTCACAATCTTGAAGTGTCAATTTCTTATTCGGATCTATTGTTGTCCATACTTTCACGAATGGATCGATTGACTTCTCTCCATGTAAGAAGTAATTCAAACGTCAATGATAAAAATTGTTTTGTTACAATTAAATGATTTAATTAATAAAGCACCTTGTCTTCATTCACTAATTATTAATAATTGGAATCCATCGGCTATTCAAGATTTACCATGACATATTATCAGTAATTCAATTCGTCGACTTGATTTACAGAATGGACATTGTCTAAAACGTGATCGGTGCTTCAATAGTGAACAGTGTGCAGCATTTCTTCGTTCATCATGGGCCAAACAATGCGAAATTCTTGAAATTGTTGTTAATGATCAATCGATGATAGATGATCTAGTCAATGATATAACCAATTTAAAAGCTTTAAAAGTGATGTTACAACCCGGTCGGTGGGATGATCATTTTCCGAGCAGAGAAGAAATGATTAGATGGATGGCATCGCAATATTCACGAACTTTCGCCAAGAACATAATTGATACTGAAACTATGCGATTTTGGATTTGCTGATAAACTATGTAAATGTAAATGAACTAAAATTGTTTTACTTATATATATATATTTGAACTTGAAATTATGAATAAAATTTTGATTGAAATTGATTATTTTCAAATTAGATGAAGCATGATCGGTTATAATGAATAGTTTCATTTTCCAATGCTTTACATATGATAATTATTTAATTTCTGTTTTAGAAATTATGTGGTGTTTTAACGATTAAAATGTATTGGAAATATTCATCATTAATGTATTTTCAATAAATGAAACTAAAAAAGCTTTTTAAGCCATATCCTCCTGTGTAGAATACGATAGATCTCGAGAGAGAAAATGAATATCAATATGAGAAAAATAATAAAAAAGCGGTCATGGGGGTGACCAATGGGGGGATTCCGTGGTAGTGATAACCCATTAGCCTTCGGACCGCATTGTGTTTCTGTATAAATCTCCTACTTGAAGAGTAAATCATTTGATGTTGTGCAATTACATTCGAAACACACGAGAAGAGAATCAATGTTTAGCAAAGGTTTGTCATTGCGAAGGCTGCTTGCTGATTTAAATGATTTCACTTCTCTGTCAAGAATTATGTACTGTTTTATTAATTGAAATATAATGAGACAATGTATCATTAATACATTTTCAATAAGGGAAACTAAAAACAAAAAGTTTTTGAGCCACATCTTCCTATGAAGAATACAATAGATCTCTCAAGAGGAAACGAATAAAAAAATGAATATAGGTATGAGAAAGTAATAAAAAAAACGGTCATGAGGGTGACCAATGGAAGGGATTCAATTGTAATGATAACCCATTAGCCTTCGGACCGCTTTTTATTTCTGTATAAAACTGCTACTTGAAGAGTATATCATTTGATTTGGTGCAATTACATCCTCACAAAATGATAAAGAAAAAAGAACTCCAATCTTGTGAAATATTGACACGTGGTTAAAGTTTTGAATTGAGTGGCTTTATTTCTCTACTAAAGTGTAGTTGTTAAATGATTGATTACAATAGAGAGCACATGTTTTAGTATGGCAACTGATGCATCTTACCACCATAGTAACTCGATACTTCTCTGAAAAAAGTTTCCTCAACATTTTCCTACAATATTCATAGGTTTCAAGAAAATTAAAAGAAAAGACTGATAAGTCTGATTCTTAAATAGTAGATATAATTGTCGATAGTTTTCGCGTTTCAATAATTCTCGAGAAAAGAGATTGTTTTATCTCATACAAAAAGTTTGACCATCTGAAAAAATGTAATGTTTTTCTTATATGTAGTTGTGTGTCACACTGTCGAATATATCAAATAGCTTACCAAGGTAAACGATTGTTTCATTTTGCTACAAATATTCTTGAGTTAAACGTTAATCTGATTTATAAGTCGAAAATATGTGATAGAAAAACAATGTACAGCGATTCCAATAATGTCTTGAGTATCAATTTTATTAAAAATTAGGCAAATTACAAGAAATAAGGTTCGTGATCTGTTACATCACAACGTAGTACTGGTGATATGTTTGAGGGAAAGTCTCATCCTGCGCACAACTGTATATTTAACAACCATTGTTGTCGAATACCAAGGACGAAAATAATTAACTTCCATGATAACAATTGATTCCAATGATATCTGTTTTTTTTCTTTTGAATCTATATTCATGCATTAGCCATTTCTATAAACTCGAAGAGATTAAGAGGACACAGACGAACTTTTATCACAACGTCAGTTGATTACCACTAAAACCAATTTTCATCAAGCATATCCACATTTAAAATTTCAGATCAATTTTTCCGGACATTTTCAACTTAAAATTTTCTTTGTATTTTTTAATTTGTCAAGCCGAAAATCCTTATAAGTAAGTAGATATGTAAACTGAAGGGCCAAGAGGTGTTAATAGTCCTAAGTTCTCAATGATTAAGGTGTGAATGACAATTCAGAATATGTATGCATCAAAAAAATTGAGCAGGACATCCACACCCTCAAGTTACAATGTTTTTTTTTCCCTCAAACTCTACTCTTTTTACCTTTTCTTCTGTTCTTTTTTTTTACATCAACGAAATCATCTGTGTAGTGAGAAGCAAAATGAATGTGACATGTCGAGCTCACGTGTATGATTGCTACTTCCTTTCGTTTCTATATTTACTTCTATTTGATTAGTCACAATGTTGGCAAAATCCAAGAGAAGATATCATGCAAAAATATAACATAAGATTACGAAAAAAGTTGGAAGTGCTTTTACGAAGCATATTTTGGCACCCTCAAGTAAGAATTTAAAAAAATTACAATTGCTGCTTATATCTGAGAATCAAAATTTTTATTTACTGTCTTTATTGAGCAAATTCATAATACTAAATCTGACAAATATGTAACCCCATGAATTGTTACAGCTGTCGTATACGATGTTATAGTTCTATGAAATTCGAATAGATTCGAGACAAAATCTTCTGATTCGATATGACTTCGATATATTGCTAGACTGTAACGAAATTCATATGAAAAACCTATGATCAGATGATATAGAATATGAATATTTACTTGCTTTGTCGAAACTAATTGAGTCAGTGTTCTTCATTGTATTTGACATACTGATTGAAAACTTTCGAAACTCCCGATGACATTTCCTTCTCCACATATCTGTAAGCTTCAAGTAACTAAGGTAGTATTAAGAGTTTTGTATATTAAACAATCAATCATAAACTTTTATGTATCATCCGATATTTAAACAAAAGAAAACTAAGGTTGCATTTTTTAATTATCTTCTTCTTTTGTTTAGAATTACTTCCAATAAAAAGAAAAAAGAAGTTTATTGTTACATGCTTTATTCTATCTGAAAAAAATAATGTCTAATGTATATCTTCTTGATCTTCCAGTCGAACTATTTTATCACATATTCGACTATCTTGTAGTCCAGACAATATCTTCAGTTCGACTAGTATGCCAACAACTGTATTCGATTACGAACACTTACGATCGATATCATCTATATATTAGCTCTCACTCAAAGCTTCTATGGAAATTGCCCATTCGATGGATTTCACCAGAGAGTATTGTGTCATTAAGATTTGATGTTCCTGCACGCAGAAACTATTACTTCTGGTCTACTCGTACAGAACCCGAAGAGAATCTAATCCATCTATTCTTATCATCTTTCGCTGGTCATCGATTTACTCGGCTTCATTCATTAATCATCAATGACGTGTATGATAACGACGTAGACTTTCTTGCCCAGAATTTGTATACTAATTCTATAGAATCACTCTTGATCAATCTGCGTGATAACAACATAAGAAAAACAATAATTTTTATTAATGCAGTTCTCAGTACGAATGTTATTCGAAAATTGTCTTTCAATAAGTCCGAAGACATAATAAATAACATTCTATGGCCAGTTCATTGCAGTTTACAACATTTGATACTCAATATGTGCAGATATGATCAATATGTCACCATTCTTAACAATTTGCCTAATTTAAAGATATTTTCAATAGGTGAATTGATCAATTCGAGTTTTACTCGTTTTACTGCTTTGCTTGCCGATAAACATTCCTCATTATTAAAATCTTTAACAATTAGTAATTGTAATTTACCTATGGAACATATAGAATCATTATTATCACAAACACCGGCACTTATTTATCTCAAATTAGTATCGCATCAACGCACATTCGACACTGTTTTTGATGGCTACAATTGGGAACAATTCATTCTTAATAAGTTATCTCAACTCAATCAATTTGAATATTTCTTTTCTTTTACTGACAAAACAAACGAATATATGAAAGTTCTTAATCATCTTCTTGCTTCATTTCAAACTCCATTTTGGTTACAGAAGAAACGCTGGTTTACTACTTGTAGTTACGTATTTGAATCGCAAATGTTTGAACTTCACACCACTACAATTAAGGTAACTGATTCGCATAATTTAATCAGAATTCAAAAGTTAGCCGAAAGCGATACATATCGTCTTGTTGAACAATCTTCTTACCATGGTTGGACAAAGGTATGTGTTCTAATATCGTTGACATTCACAGATAAGCGCAAAAGTAGTTTTACGAATCATTGATAAGAGTTATTGGCCGATAAAATCATGCTTGTTATGTGTTAAATTTCTAATATTCACAAATGAAGTACCAGTATCTTCCATTGTTTGATATATCTAGGTCTTTTCATTCATATCAAAGTTAGAGGAGTAGAATCCTATAGCTATTTTCTTCATTTTCTACGGAAATGTCTCTATGCATTAAATTTTAAGCCTAGCTGTTAAGATTTGTAATGAAGACGACTTGCTGAAAGTGTCAATGCTTGCATTTATTATTTTCTTCTAAAACAATTATGAATTTTCAAAATCAAGGAAATTATGCTACTCAATCGTTTGATGGCCACAAAAATATCTGAGGCATCTTCATTTCATATAGTTACTGTATTCTCAATTTATAAATCAATCAAAATTTTTCAGTCTATAACTCATTTATTGAAATGGTGAACATTAAACTCATCCAATTCTAATATCTTTTTCAATAGACATCCTCTACCATAAATCTTAGTAACAAAGCCATTGACGACACCACTGCTAAATTTATATCGTTTGCACTACAACATGACAAGGTAAGATATTCTTTTTTTATTTTCATTCTCTTCAATTGTTCTTTCATTATGCTTAATGGAACTTTATTAATTTGAGACAAGCTAAAATTCTTAGTTCTGTGATCTATGACTTGTTCGACGGCTCGAAGACAAGGGAAAAACGCGTACTTTTGTACTTGGCACTTCCTCGTACGTTTCTGTACTCCTTTGTACTTCTCGATACTTCTTAGTACTTCTCTGTACTTCTGAAGTGTAGAAGTACGCTTTTTCCCCCTTGCTCGAAGGTCACATATCAATTTTTGTACTACAAAAAGCATAATGATTTTTGATTACAACAAAATATTAAGGAATTTTAACAACATAGACTGTCAGAATATTAAATCTAGCTGGAAATCAAATTGGAGATGATGGTGCAACATATCTTGCAACTACTTTATTGAACAATACGGTAAGCTTTTATGCTAAAAGGTTTTTTTTGTATGTTGTCCTATGCTTCAAAAGACACTCGTAGAACTGAATCTTCGGAACAATCGGATTGGAATGATTGGTGCACAATATTTCTTTAAGTTACAGAAAAATAATACCGTATATTTGTTTTACAACTTTTCTGTGACTTTCTGTTATTTTATTGAATTTTAAGACATTAAAAAAGCTTCGGCTGAATGAAAATGCTAATAGTTTCTGTACGATTGTTGAGATTGCTCATAGAATAAGGCACAATAAGGTAGTGAATTATCTTTCTACTTTGATTTATATGCTTTTTGTATCATATTCTACAGACACTAAATTCACTAAATCTTGCAAAACATCAGATAAGTGATCAAGAAGTACAATGTCTGGCTGAAGCACTGAAAACTAATAATGTATTGGGATGAGATCAGTTGTTTTTCGGAAAATATTATGTTTTACATCTTTAGACGCTGGCTTCACTTGATCTCAGAAATAATAATCTAAGTGATGTCGGCATAGAACTGATAGCTGATGCATTACGAAACAACACCGTAATGAATAGTCTTCCGTGGTTTTGTAGTGTATCTTGCTATTTATTTGTTTATAGACACTCTTAAGTATTTATTTAAGTGGAAATCCTAGTTGTCTCTGCGACGCAGTCACAACAATGCAACGCATCAAATGTGACATGGTAAATTAAAACCTCTGTTCAGTTTTTGCATTCAAAAAAGTAATATATTTTCTCTAAAAGTCACTGACCAACCTGAAAATTCAAGGATATCTGATTGGTGATAGAGGTGTACAATGTTTGACTGATGTTTTCCAATGTAATAAGGTAATTATTACGTTTCTTGATACGTAGTATATTTCTGTTCTTTTTACAGAACATCATTACAGTAAATCTCGACAATAATGAAATTAGTGATGATGGAGTTAAATATCTCGTTGATATCTTGGAAAACAACATGGTCAGTATTATATTGAGAGTAATTTTTTTTCTATCTATATTTTGTGATAAGACACTCACTACATTGAGTCTTAGCTACAATCGAATTCGTGACGATGGAGTGAAGTATCTTGTCGATGCTGTTCAAAACAATACGGTATGTCATGCCATCGCTCGTCTCTTTTTATTACATTTTTCAATACAAAACATCAATCACAATATCATTGAACAATCTTGGTGTGAATGCAAAGTCATAGTTCATCACTTTTTAATATTGACGAAAGGACATGAAATATATCTGCCGCATCAATAATCAGTTGAATCTATCTGTAGAGTTTTTGTCCTTTCACAGACACTTACCACACTTGATCTGGAAGGAAACCGAATTGAAGACAGAGGAGCCAAATATCTTGCGGATTTGCTACAAAACAATAAGGTTTATTGTCATTTTAATTTCTACTATGTAGAACTAACTTGAAAGTCAATATTTTAATTAATCTAGACGCTTATCATATTGAATCTGCAGAAAAATCATATTGGTGACATCGGTGCACAACATTTTCGTGAAGCATTGCAAATAAACAAAGTATAAGATAATGTTAAAGATATTTTTTTGTATCTTGTAATCTTATTCAGACGCTTGTGAAGTTCACTCTAAAGAACAATCAAAGTAGTTTATGTGCAATGGTTCAAATGGAACATGAAATAGCACATGAAATGGTAGGATATGGTTTATTTTTTCCATTATACTTTGCTTTTTATTATGACATATTTTAGAAAAGCACTATATTTGATTGGACAGGTCATCAAATACGAAACGAACAATTAGAATACTTGAGTACTACGTTACAAACAAACTACGTTAGTCAATGTAAGATTTCTTCTGTACTTCACTTCTATTCTTAAATAGACAATAATCACATTAATCCTTGATGGAAATCATGTTGGAGATAATGGCATGAAATATCTCGCCAATGGTTTACTAAAGAATAAAGTAAATGAGGGATAATACTTCATTCGTGACTTGTTCCATATTTTACAATTAGACATTGCAAGAATTGAGTCTTCGAAAGAATCGAATTGGTGATGAAGGAGTGAAATATATCGCCGATGTTTTGAAAGAAAGCATAGTAAAAGTTATATTAATAGTAATTTTCTCGTATGTAAGATACTTATTTTCTTGTTAAGACACTTACTACATTAATTCTTTCCAATAATCTTATTGGTGATGATGGGGCAAAATATCTCGCTGATGCAATACAAAATAATAGTATGTAGTATTATTAATCATCTCTTTTATGTAGAAATTTCTCACTAAAATACATGAGTAATAATATTCACATTTCGTTCTTTAAAAGCGATTCAATTCATGTACTGACTCGAACTGAGTGATGAGCTTTGAATCGACCTTGAACATTTAGAGTAGTTAACGATTACATAGATTTATATTATTTAATAGAGTGAAATCTTGTTCTTTTAGCAACTCACTACATTAAATTTGGACAACAATCGAATTGGTGATGATGGAGCACAACATATCGCTACTGCTTTGAACATCAACACAGTATGTTATTTCACTAGGAAAGATTACTTCTGTACTATGGCTGTTCTTTTTCATCAGACGCTATGCAATATTATTCTCAGTAGCAATGCTACCCATTTCTGTATCGTAGTTGAAGTTTTGCATCAGCTACGACATGGAAAAGTAACCTGACTTTTTTTTCTTTTTCATTGGCATCATTATACTTTTTAGATGCTTAACTCGTTGAACCTTTCAAAGCATTCTATAAAAAATGAAGAAGTTCCATTTTTAGCTCAATCATTGATGAATAACAAGGTGACTTTTCCCTAGATTTAGTCTTCCGACACATTTATACTCATATTTCAGACAGTTGTCGAATTGAATCTTTCTTCAAATCAGATTGGAGAGAATGGTGCTCAACATTTGGCCAATGCTTTACGAAATAATACAGTATATGGAGTCTTCCTAATATCGACTTAGCCTCACGTGTTTTTTCTTTACGTAGACACTCTCTTTATTGAATTTGAACATGAACTCGATTGGATACAAAGGTTTACAATATCTTGTTGATTCTTTGATTATTAATAAAGTAAAATAAATTAGCATAATCATCGTGCTCAGATTAATATTAATTATTAGACTCTAACTATTCTGAAACTTCGAGAAAATAAAATCACAGATGAAGGAACCTACTGTTTAATAGACTTACTATTTAACAATAATGTACGACAGTCTTTACGATCGTCATTCTAATGTCTGCTTTCTTTGCTATTTTGTAGACTCTTACCGAATTAGATTTGTCTTTCAATAAAATCACAAATCATGGTGCAGATAATTTAGCATGCGGTTTACAACAGAATAAAGTAAACTATTTTCTCATATGGTTTCTCTTATACTTCTCAGAAAATTTCGAAGTCTTTTTCACTTTGAAATAAGTAGATAAATCTTGCTTCACATTATTCGATTATCTTTAAGATCATATTCATATAATGGCATCTTGAATTTTTCACATAGGCACTTACTGTGTTGAATCTTTCTGGAAATCAAATTGGAGATACAGGTGTTCAAAAGTTAGCAGATATTCTGCAAGTTAATAAAGTAAAAATTTCTTAATTCGATATTTACATCGCTATCATCTATTTTGGTTGTAGACATTGATCAGTTTACAACTTATACAGAATCAAATCAGCAAACAAATTCAACAAGAATTGAATTCAAAAGACTCCAGAATTGCAATAAAATGATATTATGTTTCCATTGAGTTGCATTATTATTAGTCAAGAAATTTTCTCTGTTTCACATCATTAATATGAATAAACAAGAATAATACTCGTATTGCCTGATTGGCCATCAGATATCGATCTCATAGGCTGAATATTGCATCTCGTAATATTTTCCAGCGGTCATAGTTAGCGAGAACTTTTAACCTCTGTTTTGAGTTGTTCAAGTCTCGATGGTGAGGGTGGGTGATTAGTATTATAAGAAAATTACGTTCAACTAATATTAAATTTGCAATTACGAATATAGATTGGGTAACATCTTACAATCGCAAACATTTTAGTAATTGTATTACACTCAAATAAAAATATCGGAAATATCGGAAAAGATTTATTCTTGGATATAAAGATCAAGTAACACCCTATTTTTTGGTCGAAAGTACCACTATAGGTGTAAAACATGCTGGTTAGCAGTCATTTGAAGACCGCGACTTTCGGTGAAAAGAAGAATCACATTCAAATTACTCACACCTGAGAATAAGACATGATGATAGTTTTTGTAGAAGGAAGAAGAGCTATTGATTAAATGTTAAGAATCAATAATACAATATTTGTCACATTGTAGCCCGTTTATTAAAATAACGTTGGGAAGGTGTGAGTGCGTGATAACTCTTCATCTACACCCACACCTTCCTCAAGTTTATTTAAATTGATTTTCTAGAAATGTATCGATTTATTGATTGAAAAAGAGTATCTTGAATGAGATACCAATAACAAGGAAACGTTACGTTATAAGGCTTAAAGGATGGACTTTTCATCAATTATTTAGAATATTATTTTCATTCTTAATTATAATGAGTGCCTCATTGCTAGCTGTTATATAACCTATATTTTCATCTATTTTTCAGAAAATAATAAAAATAACGGAATACAATATACGGTCCATATGATTGTTATGTCTTGTTTAATCTTGAGTACTGTGCAGATTTTGATGAATTCATACAAATGAAAATAAACTATATAGATGTCGTTATGTATATTCACTCATATGTGTACGACTCAATCAGAAAATGGAAAGATTATACTTCCTCAATTTTGCATGCGCAGATTTTGAGTGAAAATACACTATATAATTGAGTCATATGACAGAAAGAGAAAAAGTCAAAAATAGAGTCGATCAACATCAGTGCAGATTGTTGTGGAAGCTTTTAAACGTATTCTTCAATTACTCATTCCTTGACGCATGACAATAGGCTTTATCTAAACAATTAGTTGATTTTTTCAACTTTCGTACAAATAAATATTCAGCTGTTTGTGCAGTGCTGATTGTATTTCAAAATGGTCGTAGGAGCAAATCTCGAAGCGTACCCTCAATATACAACTGTTCTGATAGCATCGTCGTCTGGTGAACATGAGCAGTTAGAATCTGGCTACAGTTCTTCGATGGCTACATCAAACCCAGAGAGTCTTCCAAAGGTAAAACGATCAACAACTGGACAACAATCTAAGCATGTCGAAACACAATCAAGAGCTTCAGTTAGCACTCGGCAATCAATCTCAGCACATCATCAAGTAAAACAGCCAGTGGATCCAATCGTTAGATATCGTAGTCAAAACGCAACCTATTCCTTAATATCAATGGATATGATGATATCAAAACAATTCAAAACAATTGAAACGGTAAGTGATGAATTCTTTCAGAACAGAATCGAATCCAATACTAAATTTAATGTGAAATGGAAAACGAACTTTTCAATATGTTTTTTTTAGAATACTTCAATTAATCACAGCCGTTGTTTACGTACTCCATCCAAATATCAAGAAGAGAGTACAGATTATTCTGATGATTGGGAAACTGATTATTCAGACGATTTTACATCAGATAGCGAAAATAGTTGGAAGCCCATCCCGAAGAAAGCCTCTGAATTCGTAAATGTATCAACACAATAAGAATGTCGAATTGAAGGCATTAAAAATAAGAAAGAAGACCCAATATACAAAAATCTATCCACACAGAAAGATTCTAAAGATCATTTAAAAACGAATTCGTCGAGTGATACTTTAAGTTTAATACCATTGGATTCGAACGCATTTGAACCTGCATTCTGTCGACAACGTCAGGCAGCCATTGATAATATGGATTATCGAAGAGTAGTGAAGAGTTGGAAAGCGAAAAATGCTCGTGACACAATCAAGCTCATACTCGAATTATCATCTAGCAAGAGTGTTATCGATCGAGCCTGGATTGTATTCTATTGGGTTTCGCAGAATATTGAATATGATGTCGATGCATACTTCAGTGGTAATATTCGCCATCAAAGCACAGATGATCTATTTAGAAGTGGAAAAGGAGTTTGCGATGCCTTTGGTACAATTTTCGAGACTCTTTGCAATGGAGTCGGATTAGAATGCAAGAAAATCAGTGGATATGCCAAAGGATATGGGTTTCAAATCGAAAAACCAACTTTCAATCGAGTGGATCATGCTTGGAATGCCGTTCGTCTTGATGGGCACTGGTATCTGGTTGACTCGACGTGGGGTGAAGGACATATAGATAATAGAAATCAAAATGTCAGAAAACTATGTTCATATTATTTTCTCGTACGTCCAGAGCAGCTGATCTATACACATTTGCCTGAAAATCCACAGTGGCAATTATTGAAATCACCTATTTCAATGAAGAATTTTGTTTGCCTACCACATGTTTATCCAGAATATTTTGAGCTTGGCCTTCAGATGGTGTTCCCATACCAGTCTAGTATGGCACTATTCGACTCGAGTCAAGGACTTGCTGAAGTACTTATACGAGCTTCAGATAGTGTAGATTTCACTACAAGCATGCGACGGAGAGGACATGAAGCAAACAAAACAACTAGTCTCGTCCAATATGATGCCGATCGCCAGTTTTGGCAATGTCGTTTTGTACCTCAAACAGGTGGTTTTCATACATTGACTATCTATGCTAGGAAAGTAAAGCAAATGACAACTCAAAGTTCGACAGATGACAATACCTATCCATGTGTGGCCGAATTGGGTTTAGAAGTTCCAACTACTTTCAGTGGAACAAAGACTTTTCCAATAACGTATTCTACATTCAGTGTACACAAATGTCAAATCTTACAACCTCTGGATGGTAGTCTAAAGGCAGGCTCGAAGCAAACGATACATTGTCGTATTCCTGGTGCTTATTGTGCTCGACTTTTGGTTGATGGAAAATGGCTTCCTGAAATCATTCTCAAAAATGATATATTCAAGACAGAATTTACTGTTCCTAAACGAGAGGTCATGGTATATGTCAAATTCGCTAATAAAAAGAACATTTCAAGTTACGATGGACTGATCAAATATTCAGTTCATTAAAGTCTATGTATGTATTAAGATTGTTGAACGATACATTAAATCAATTTTTAAGTACTTCTATTAAAATTTCCCAATCGATATTTTGGACAAATCTTTATATGTATTTAAACTTTTCTTTGCTGGATTACCTATTTACTACAGTTAAATTATGTGATTAAAAAAGCGTCAGTTTCCTCATGTTGATACTTCTTTCATAATCATGTCAAGTTTTTCACAGAAAAAATCAGCATTTTCTTTGGAAAAACATATTGGTCTAAATAGAATGCACCACTTAATATTTTCGATAAACTATGAAAAAGCAAGAAATAGAGACTTACGGTGGGTGTGGGTGGGGTGGATGTGGATGTGGCTGTGGCTGTGGGTGGGCAAAAAGTACGAATAAGACCACATCCACACCAACACACTCACAACCCACCCCACACCCCACACCCACACCCACACTCACACTCACCCTCACACTCCAAATCCGCACGAAGGAGGTTGGTAAGAAGCTCTGTTCGTTGAATTGGTTTTTTCCTGATTTGTGAAAAAGTAAAATTTTGTTATTGAGGCTTTAAGAAAAGTTCTCAGTAACCTTGTCCGTATGGACGCAAAATTTTCTAACTGTAATGACTTTCAGAATATTCTATATGTACATGTAGATAAATACCGATACTTCTATCATTTAGATTTTGACAATAGTTCATGTATCTGAGTTGTGATCTTCAGCCTATTTCTAACTAAAATGTTTGTATGTATCGGAAAAATATCAACCAGACCGATTAGACTGATTGAGCAGAGCTTTGTAGGAAACATCCAGATCGAAAAATCAGATGTAAGATCTTCAGATCAGATCTCGAATATTGTATGATCCTCTAATATCAGAAGAAATCGTACGCAAAAGTTACATCGAGTCTTGACATGCGATTCTTCCGAGATCATATTATTTGTACGATTTTAAAAGCATCATGTGCTAAGACTTAATGTAAGTTTTGTGGACACAAAGATTTTCTGTTTGGTGTTATAAGTTCTGGTGAAATCAGATTTAAGTCTTATAAGAACTTACCTTCAGATTATTTGCTCTAGGTGATCGTGACTTGCGTGCAATGACTGATAAGTAAACTGAAAAAGCTATAGGTAGTTTATTGGCCCCATACATATCGTCCCTATGAAATAATTAGTCAAGGGCGGAGTGTAGGTGTGGATGTCCCTTGTTCTCTCACACTCACATCCATCCCATTTTCATGACCTTTGTTTTTCGTCAAAAACTTCGTCTTCAGTCTTG